GTGGCTCCTAGCCAGGGAGACAGTAACTGAATCCTTGCCCAAGACACAGGGAAATTAGTTTAGCACCGTCTGACAGTGTGCGGTGACTCAGAGGCTGCCAGCCCAGCAGGGCTCACGGGCTCTGGGGTTTGAACAAGATTGATGTTGTCGTGAATGCAAAGCAGAGGAGAGAGCTGTGGGGCTGGGAGGCAGGGAGCGCCAGGGCCTTCCGTTTGCTTTCTGCTCCCGTTCTAGGTGAGCTGAGGGTTTTGGGAAGCAGGGCTGCCCCAGCTGCTCACCACGATGGCAGAGAAGCCAGGGGATCTGAGGAGAGGCATTGGGGTTCAGGGGAAAGCTAGCAGTTGATTGCATGAATGTGAGTGGGCATCCCATACTGGTCACTTGCTGTGTGACCTTGGGCAAGTAGCTTAATTTCTCTGAGCCCCCAACTCCTGGTCATTCAACTGGGTATAATAATGGCAACTGGGGTTGCTGTGAGGATGTGAGATGAGGGATATAAAGTGCTTAGCCTAGCACAGCACATGGTAAGTGCTCAGTAGTCATGAGCAATTAATAACATTGGGATTTACAAGCCCCCATCCCATCAGAGCCTTAAAACTACACTCTGAAAGCCTGGCCAGCGTGGCTCAGTGGTTGAGCATCGACCTATGAACCAGGAGGTCACAGTTCAATTCCTGGTCAGGGCACATGCCCAGGTTTCAGGCTCGATTCCCATTAGGGGATGTGCAGGAGGCAGCCGATCAATGATTCTCTCCCATCATTTCTCATCATTGATGTTTCTCTCTCTCCCTCTCCCTTTCTCTCTGAAATCAATAAGAAGTTTTTTTTTTTTTAAAGTAACTGAGCTCAACCAATAAATCTTGGGAGAGGCCCCAGCCTTAGGTGAGACCCCAGCCCCAGCTTATACTTGGAATTCAGACAGGTGAACCCAGAGCCATACCTTCTGACCCACAAAAACTGAGATACTACTACATTTGCGTTGGTTTAAGCAACTACAGTATATTTGTGGTAATTTGTCCCAGCCTTAGGTGAGACCCCAGCCCCAGCTTACACTTGGAATTCAGACAGGTGAACCCAGAGCCATACCTGGACTTCTGACCCACAAAAACTGAGATACTACTAAATTTGTGTTGGTTTAAGCAACTACAGTATATTTGTGGTAATTTGTCATGCAGCATAGAAAACAATTACTCTGGTTTTTCAAATTGTGCTTATAAACACTATAATAAGTATCCTATATAATAAAGAACTAATATGCTAATTAGACCAGCTGGTGGAACGACCTTCTGGAACGACCTTCCGGAATGACCAGTGGGTGGGGCTGCGGGGCAGCCAGGCTGCAAGGGCCAAGCCCCTTGCAAGAATTTCATGCATCAGGCCTCTAGTGTAATAATAATATGAAATTTAAAATCATATCAAAGATAGCAAAAATAACAAAACAAAACACCCATTTATTATCTCACAATTCTGCAGGTCAGAGAAGTGTGGGCAGGCTTAGCTGGGCTATTGCTTGGGGTCTCCCAAGTTGAAATCAAGATGCCAGCTGAAAAAAAAAAGATGCCAGCTGAGCTGAGTTTTTTTCTGGAGGCCCTGGGGAAGAATCTATTTCCAAGCTCACTCAAATTGTTGGCGTAATTCAGTTCCTTGTGGTTGTAGGACTGACATCTCAGTCTCCTATTGGCTTTGTGTGTGTGTGTGTGGGGGGGTGCTACTCTCACTTCCTAGCATCTCCTCCTCTTCAGAGCTATCAAATAGTTCTCACACTTGGTGTCTCTTTGATTTTCTCTTCTGCTACCAGCTAGAGAAAATGTTCTGCTTGTAAAGGGCTCATGTGACCATATGAGACCCACTTGGATGATCTCCCTTTTCCAGTCTCCTATTGGCTATTGCGGGGGGGCTACTCTCACTTCCTAGCATCTCCTCCTCTTCAGAGCTATCAAATAGTTCTCACACTTGGTGTCTCTTTGATTTTCTCTTCTGCTACCAGCTAGAGAAAATGTTCTGCTTGTAAAGAGCTCATGTGACCATATGAGACCCACTTGGATAATCTCCCTTTTTATGTCAACTGATTAGTAACCTTAATTACATCTGCTAAATCCATTCTGCTAGATAACATAACAGAATTATGGGTGTGATACTTTATCGTAATCACAGAGTCCATCAACATTTAAGGGGAAGAAATTATACAAGGACAAGGCTCATTGTGGGTCATTTTAGAACTCTGCCTACCACCCTGAGCTTGTCCCTGTCCTTTCAAGTCCTGGCTCTCCTATTTTCCTTCCTTACTGTGAGATATTCTATATGCTTTCCATAAATTTTTGCTTCTTTGTTTAAGGTAGACATTGTTTGTTTCTGTTGTTTAAAGCCTCAGACCCTAACTAATCCATCTCCGTTTTCTAAGATTTCCATCTACATAATTTCACTTTAATCCATCCAACCCTCTGGTGAGATAAACATCATTACACTCATCTATATATATAAAAGTCTAAGCAACTGTCTGACCGACACCTGACCGGTAGCTATGATGCACAATGACCACCAGGGGTCAGATGCTCCAACCAGTAGTTATGATGTGCACTGACCACTAGGGGGCAGACACTCAATGCAGGAGCTGCCGAGCTGTGGTGACTTGGCAGCTGCGGTTCTCGGGTGACACACCTGGAACCAGAGAGGAAGGAGCCCAATTCTAGTGCATCACCTGAGAACTGCCCTCTCGCAACAATCCAGGACCCCTCGGGGGATGTCAGAGAGCTGGTTTTGGCCTGATCCCTGCAGGCCAGGCCAAGGGACCCCACCTGTGCACGAATCCGTGCACCGGGCCTCTAGTTTTAGAAATAAAGAGCTTGGTATGCAATCAAATGATTCACCTAAGATTACACCCTGGTAAGTTTGCAGTGTGGTGAGGTGCTGAGTCCAGGGGCCACACTTTGAGCAGCAGGCAGGTCATTGAAGTTTATGACATCAAAACCTTTTTGGTCATTCCAACTGGACATAGCTGTGGTTGCCACTTGTCCTCTGGACTGCCAGAAACAGCGGAGGTCATTACAACATCTGGGTGATCAACCACAGCCTCCCATCACTGCTGGATGGGAGGACAAAGGGACTGGGATGTGCTCGGCGAGGGCAGTGAGCCCATCAGCAGAGGATGGGCATCTGCTCCTTCATGCCGGCCTCCTAGGAGGGCAGACTGAAATTCCAGAAATGTGCTCCTGTTCTGTCTTCAGGAGATTGTTTTGTGCATAAAGAGACCCCTTGAGGTCTGTGACAAAGGTAATGGAGCTGAGTCAAAGTCTGGGAATTGATGAACGGAGGTCCTCAGTTGGCGATGACTCGTGAGCACACACTAACAGAGCAAATGCCATCGTGTTGAAATGACGTTGCAGTTAAAAAGCACTTTCCCATCCTGCGGGGCCTGCTACCCACACAAGGCAGATACTCAGCCTTTCCGGAGGTTGTATTTATCTTGGAAATTTACTCTAGCATTCTTTTTTCCAGAGAATTTCTCTGAACACAGGAGAAAGTGGATGACATCACATCGGTTGGAAATTTACTCTAGCATTCTTTTTTCCAGAGACCAGAAGTTCTCTGAACACAGGAGAAAGTGGATGACATCACATCGTGTCGGTTATCGCGGGGTGTGACTGCCCCACCTGACGGCCATTCCTGTCCCTGCTTCTACTTCCTTCACTCTGGGCTCGGAGTTTGAGATCAGAGAGCTCTGCATTCGAGTAGTGGCTTCCCTGTCACACTCTGAGTGCTGAGCATGGTGCATGATATGTAGGGGGAACTCAATAAGCAGTTTAAACTTCAATGACCTGCCTGCTGCTCAAAGTGTGGCCCCTGGACCAGCAGCTTACGCATCTCCTGGGATCTTGTTAGAAATGCAGGATCGCAGGCCCTGCTCCAGACCTACCGAAGCAGGATGTGCATTGTAAGAGGATCCCCATCTTCACGTGCACCTTAGAATTTGAGAACCACTGGCCCGATTCATAGACTTGTTCTGACTTTTTTACCTACTCCTCAGGAAGCAGTGACCTGCTGGACTATGAATTGTACATCATAATAGATCCCCGAGTCCGTAATACTTAATACTCTTTTGGTTCCAAGTGTTAAGAACAATTATCTGAAAGTTGAAAATAAAGTAAAAAGATGGCTGTATAATCTTTCAAAATCAAATTGAAACCCTGTCTGCTTAAAGGTTATCTGATTTTCCAGGGGATGTAAGTTTGACTTTGTTATTGATTAGGTCCAGATGCTGTAAAGTTAGATGTGAAATTGTAGAAAATTAAGTTGCAAATGATTTTTGTCCAGGAGAGAAGATCATCTCCAAGAGTATTGGCATGTTATTCCCCTACAGCAGGCGAAGGGCTGGATGATGAATATTGTAGGCTTTGCGGGCCACACAGTCTCCGTTGCAAGCATTCAACTCTGCCCTCGCATTGTGGAAGCAGCCAGATTGCTACGAATGTGCATGGCTGAGCTCCAATACAATTTGAATTTCATGTCAGTTTCACGTGTTATGAAATATTGTCCTTTCTTTTTCCAACTGTTTAAAAATGTAAAAAACACTCTTAGCTCATGGGCATACAAAAACGGGTGGTGGGTCTGATTCGATGAGCAGGTCATCATTTGCTAATTCTTGGCCTATAGGTTTTATTGCCCTGTTGATCATTACCTTGTTTTGTATTTATCTTGGAAATTTTCTCTAGCATTCTTTCCCCCCTAAATGTATATATGATGGTGTGTGTATGTTCGTTTATCCTATCCTTTGACCCAGTTTTTTCCCCCCATCCTTCATGGATGAATTAAATAAATCTCTGACACATGATAGCCATAGATTCCCAATTCATTTTGAATTGGGAGTAGTTTGACCATCTCTTCCGTTACTTTGGCTCCCCTCCCCACCAAGTGTTTGATCGAGATGTAGTCCTAATAAAGACAAATCTGTCCCTAATTGAAATTCAGATGCCTACAATGTTACCTCTACCGCTCTGTTAGTATTAGGGGGCCCCTTTTGCAACAACACTCTTCTCCGTAAAGCCCGTGGCTGGGGCTGGCAATGGGCTGGCCTGCGTGGATGAAAGGTAATGAGTTAATGACACTGGTGGTAGCTAATGCACTGTGGGGCTTGGCAAGGAGGTACCAGCAAATGTCAGGCTGCCAGGGCCCACGTGGAGGGGAGCAGGCATGAGGGGCCTCTCCTCATCTCTCCCCTGCACCTGTGCTGGCCGCACAGCTGGGGCCTTGCACCTGTGGATATACAGCAGCATCAATACGCACCAGTGCTCCCTACAAGACGTGGCTCTGACAGGCCAATGTTACTGTTGCAGTCTTTCTATTGTAAGGCAAAGAGCAATAACTCTGAGGGCGTGGGAGAAGTATAGGCTCTTGCAGAGGGGAAGTTTGCTGGGTGCCTGGTTGGTTCTGGGTTGTGGGAGGCGGTGGGCATTTCCCAGCCACGGGGAGACTGGAAAAACTGGCACCCCCCACTCCAACTCAAGAGGGCCCCAAACACTATGATCCTGTTACAATGCTCATCCTCAATGGCAATCAAAGTAATATTACTTAAAACCAGTTTCAGCAAAGAATGTTATTATTTGCATAGGTAAGGGTGGAAATTGGGACTACCCTCTTAAAAGCATTTGGTAATAAATATATTAAACATATCAGTGCTTGTCTCAATCACTAGCTGGTCCTGGGTTCTTGGCCAAGTCAAACCCAGCTCTGGAGGTTGTGAGAGCGCATGGACTAAAACTTATAATATTTTTAATGTAGCTCTATATTTTTAACTACACAAGGATATATGAATTTTTGATCATTGTCAAACATTAAAAGTTACAGAGCACACTTAAGTTCACTCTTGGGACTGTTTCCCCCATCCCCGAGGCCCTTAGTTTTACACTTCGTGTGAATCCTTCCAGACTTTTTATTCCATATTTACAGTTATATGTGTCTACAGAAATAAGAAGTGTAATTCTGTGGGGGAGATTTTAGATATGTTAGTGATATAATATTTTATCCATATTCCTGCAACTTGCTTTTATCCCTCAACAATATGCCCCCTTCATGTTCTCAGTCTGTATGTAAAGGCTGCGTAGAGCTCCCTGAACTAACGGGCCATAGTTTATCTAACTGTCAGTTACTTTAGGGCAATGGTCCCCCGCCTCACCACGCCATAGACGACGGGAGACGTCCACATTCATAACACATGGCTGGCAGAGCTCCTGCTGTGGGGTTGTTGAAAGAAATGAGCTTCCATGGCTAAAGTCCCTGATGCTCAGTAGATGTTAGGAAGAAGAGTGGTGTGGCTAACCCTGGGTTGGAAAAGAAAGCCCTGGAATCTTCTGTGAACATGCTAACATGTTAACTCATTTGTGAGGATCGGGAGAGGGAAGATAGGGCTTCCTCAGAGAGCACCTGAGCTGGTTGGACCCTCTTTAAAAAGATGGATATTGGGCTGTTGGCTCTGAAATTTGCTTCAAAACAACATAGGTCTGACTTCCCTGTTTCTTTAAAAAATTATTATCCTTCAAATTGTTCAAATCACTTAACTATGCCCCATCTGATTATTTTGACAGTTGACGCATCTCCAGAGTCTCTTTTATGGCCGAGCACAGGAGAAGCACACTCCCTCCGAGGGCCCCTCACAGGGGTGAGGTGCAGCCCTGCCCTTCTCTGAGAAGACTGCCCGGAGGGTGCAGTCAGCCTTCTGTGTTTTTGACCTCTTCCCAGTTTGAAATTTAGAGTTGATTCCTCATTGCCTTCTTGTCTGCCTATCTATCCATCCATCCATCCATCCATCCATCCATCATCTAGATCTCTATATATATCATCTCCATTCATTCATCTATTCCTCTATCCATGCATCTATTCATCCATGCATCCATCCATCCATCCATTAGTTGTCACTAATCTCTCTCTCATTATTCCCTCCCACAGCATCTCAGCAGTAACATCCTAGAAAAGATGGGGGATTCTGTGAGCTGTCAGAGACTGGCACAATGACACCAAGATACGATGACAGGAGACAAAAATACCTGAGGTAGACGCAGCCCACATGACCCTGAGTCATCAAGAGAAGACGAATCCTCTTGGTATCTTCCGTTTAAGAAAGCAGGGAAATGTAGAAGATGGTTTAGAAAGATTTCCTGCCAAAGTGGAGAAAATAGAGATAGTTGTGGTGCTCGAGGAATGAATGTTAGTTTTCTGGAGAAAACTAACTTTTTATTTCCCAAAGCTGCCTGATAACTCACAGCAAGAGCTGGAAGGGGCTGTTTCCATTTTACGAAGGAGGAAACCGAAACTCAGAAAGGACAAGCCACTTCCATGAGGACACACAGTAGGTGGCAGTGGTGGGATCTGAACCCACATCTGTTTCATTTCAGATGTGTTAACATGGAGATGCACACCCAGATGCTTCTTCAAGGAAGGAGGAAGCTGGACCTGCAGCCGGCATCTCCTTCAGGGTCAGCCTCGCCCCAGAGAGCTGCTGTAACTGAAGTCACATCCTTTTCCGGGAAGCCCACATCAGTGATGGAGTGAAGTCCATCTGGGTCTAAAGCCCTGCCCATTCCAGCCCTATGTGGTCCACTCTGATGGCCAATATTTGCTCCACATCTCCCTAGCAGGTTGGAGGATAATTTGTCAGGCCATGGCTCAGTTCCACTTATTTTCACAAGTGTTGACCCCTAATAAACATCTACTCCAAACTCTGTCTCAGCAACCACTTCCAGAGACCTTGATCTGGAACCACCGATACTGGGAGCAGCCTGAGGAAGCAGGCAGCCAGACGGGGCTCAGGAGCTGGATCGCCGCCCTCCAGGCTGGCGGCAAGTGATGGCGTGTGGAGCACAGACTGCCCCTGGCACAAGGCGGTGTACAGTTGTCCAAACTTTCATGGAGGGAACCAGGAGGGTGTCCTGGGGGAGGGAATACACTAGCAGGAGTGATGAATCAGATAGCCGATGACTAGAGAAACTAGATCTATAAGCATAACTAGATTGGATGGCTAGTGCTACAGGCTTTATGCTACAGAAACATAAGAAACAGCTCAGGACAATGAACAGACGTTTGCTCCAGGAATGAAAGCCAAGAGCCCGTGTGTGTGTGTGTGTGTGTGTGTGTGTGGGTGTGTGTGTGTTTTAATTGATTTCAGAAAGGAAGGGATAGGGAGAGAGAGATAGAAACATCAATGATGAGAGAGAATCATTGATGGGCTGCCTCCTGCATGCCTCCTACTGGAGATTGAACCCACAACCCAGGCATATGCCCTGACCAGGAATCCAACTGTGACCTCCTGGTTCATGGGTCGATGCTCAACCACTGAGTAATACCAGCCAGGCCCACCACCCTTTTTATTTATCAAGCCAGTTTTAATTGGGTTTCCTGTTACTTATGACCAAGCAACCACTCTGTGTCAAGATTCTTTTTTCAAATCTCTGTTTGGGAGATTTATCTCTTCTGTGCTTTACAGTTATTGAGTATCAACTCTACACTAGGCACAGCTACAAGATGATGCTAGAGTTGGGCTCACTCCAACAGGGCAGGACTGGCTCAATGAATGGTCAGAGATGCAATCTTGCAAACAAAAGGAACTTCCAGCTGCAGGTGCTATCATTCCATGATCTCATTTCTCCATTTATCCAGTGTTTAGAAAAGTCTGCCCAAAGCACTGATGATTATGGAGGCCATGTCATATAATGGGAATAGCTTGCTGTGAGAGGGGGGGCGGGGGGGAGACTGACTAGAGCTTGAGATTCCAGCTCCACCCACTTCCTGGCTCTGCAATCTAGACAAGTTACTTAACCTCTCTGAGCCTCAGTTTCCACACCTGTAAAATGGAGTTGGTATCTTGCTCAGAGAGTTATTGTGAGGATTGAATGATTAAAGCATGCAAAGGACTTAGCTAGTGCTTGGCACATGGTGCCTAGCCCTCAAAAGAAAAAAGAAAAACCAGCCCCTTTGCTGTATTTTTTTCATTATTAGTCTTAGAGCTTGTAATACAAGTTCCTTATACTCTAAAAAAGTGTATTCTTAATCCAATTTTAAAGTTACTATTATAAATGGAAATTTTTTATTACAACTTTTATATGGGTTCTTGCCACATGAATTCTTTGATTAAAAAAAGGTATCTCTACTGAGTTTGGCCACTACTGTTACTTCTGCTACTTTGCAAGCAATTTGTACCCTCCTTAATGAGCTCTGATACAGTGCCGGGCTAAGCCCTTTACACACAGAGGCTCATTTACTTTTTTACGATGAGGCACCATTATTGTCACCCTGATTTTATAGCTGAGGAAACTGGAGATCAGAGAGGTAAAGAAAAATTTTGCTCAAAGTCACCTGGCGGCCACTAAGTGGCAGATTAGGAGCTGGAACTAGAACCCTATCCCTTACAGTGCTCTGAGGCAGGGCCAGAAGCATGCATGCAAAATAGAGACGGTTTGCAGCTTGCCCAGGGAAAGTCTGGGGACCACATCTCTGGGTGGAGTCTGCTGTGGTCTTGCCAGGTCTGAGATCCAGCCCCAGCCATCTTCTGCAACCTTATCCTCCACCATTTTCCCACCCACCCCTGCCCCACTGTGTATCCCAGACACACTGGTCTTTAGTGTCCTCGAAAGTGCCATGATCTCTCTCACCTCAGGACCTTTGCCCATGCTGTTCCCTCTACCTGGAATGCTCTTCCTCTGGCTGACTCCTGTTTGTCCATTAGACATTAGCTTAAATGTCTCTGATGCAGGGGGGCTGTGGCAGCCACGGACGGCACTGCTTAGAGCCGGAGAACCAGCTGCAGGGAGCATGGTTGACTGACAGCCTCAGCTCCCGGCCCCTTTGGACCCACGGCCCCTTTGGATCCACCACTGCCTTCACAGCCAGACCACGCTTCCCGGAGGCTGTGCCATAACTTGTCAGTTACTCAGTATGTCAGGAGCACGGGCGCTGGCCCAATTCTGTCATGGGCATCCTTTGCCTGGGGACTCCCCAGGGGCCTAGCCAAGACCTTCTCACCACTGTGTTGTGGCCTGAGACTCTTCCTACCCTCTTCCCTCCCCTCTCCTTCCACAGGTCTCAGACCCACATCACTGTCTGAAGACATTCCCTCTGGCTGCTTTTTTGGAGCACCCAAGCCAAACAGAGGCCTTCCCTGACCATGCTATCTGTTCCCACCATATCCTCTGCCACCATATTTGTGGAATTCTAACTGCGGCACCTTGGTGTCTGATTTCTCTCTGTCTGCTGGGCACCCAGCACGACCTGGCACCCAAGTTCCACATGAAAGGCTGGTTAAATGACAATGGAATCTTGGCCGGAGCTTTGGCCATCGCTTCCTCACCTGTCTGTGGTCGTGAAGGCCCGTCCAGGTGTCAGCTGGGATCTCAGGAACGCAGCTGTTCATGAGTTCACTCATGAAGACATTCTCCCAGCTGTGAAGGTAGGAAACAGCAGCGTGTCACCTGTTGCCTCTGCTCACAGGGTGGAATTGAAGTCTGAAAGCAATCCTTGTTAACCATCCTGAACCCGAGTAAATAGAGGACAGGATACAATCCTGCCTTTTCCTCCTTTTTCTTTTTTCATTAGGTCACCTGGATGTGGCTGTCATCCCAGGGGCACCTCTGGATTTGATCCTCTCCAGCTCAGAGCAGGCCTCAGTAATGCCGTTCATCCTAAAAATGTAGAGCCGCCTCAAAAAAACTAGCAAACAAGGTGGGTTATATTGGCGATGCCATGAAGAGACCAAAAAGGAGTGGTGGGGCCCTAAATGGTTTTGCTCAGAGGTTAGAGCATTGGCCCGTGGACCAAAGGGTTCCAGTTCTATTCCCCATCAAGGGTACATACCTGGGTTGTAGGTTCGATCCCTGGCCCCAGTTGGGGCACATGTGGGAGGGAGCCAATTGGTGTGTGTCTCTCACATGGTGTGTATTTTCTCTCTCTCTCTCCCCCTCCTCCCTCCCTTCCACTCTCTCTAAAAATCAATTGAAAAATATCTTCGGGTGAGGTTTTCAAAAAAAGGAGTGGGAGGATTTCTGGGGACAAAGTGTTCTTTGGTCCAACAGGTCTTTGACCTTGGTCCCCCCCCCAGCTGGCTGAGCACCGGCATCCCAAGTGCCCTCTGATGCACCATCCAGGGGCGCCTGCATCAACTGCTGAGCATGCATCTGGGCGGTCAGTTTAGCGCTATCGCTGTCTTTGTTCAACAGCTCCTGCTTGAGAAACGATTTCAATATTTTATTGCATTTTCCCCATATCTGGCCAAAATAACTAGAAAATAGAAAGGCCCAAGTGTAACTGCAAGTAATAAGGAGATCAGATAAACTTACTTCAGCTGTTGCTTGAAACAAAGATGGAAATTATTAGGTAAGAACCATGAACTTGAACTTCAACCAGCCGCTCCACGGACATAAGCTGATGTGTGGTTCATTATGAAGGGAAGGACGAAATTAAAAAGCATGAAGAAAATTCCAGAATTATAGAACTGGATTGTGTCTCAAAGACAAGATGTAATTGGAAATTTTATAATAGTGTCCAGTTTTACGAGAACAAAACCTCACTGATAACGAATCATTGCTGGAATTCCACTCTTGTTCACGTTTTCAGGAAAGCATTCTGTGCCAAAGTGGAAAACTGCCTGTAAGAGAGAGGAGAGGGGGAGGATGTCAGTGTAAGAGAGGAAGGGAGGGGAGTTGAGAAGAGAGGAAGAAGGGAAGTTGAGGCAGAACAGGAGTTGGGCCGGAGATTGCTGGAAGACCCCTGGATTCGCAGAAAATCCTTCTGATGCCCAGTTAACCGAGGTTTAGCTTCCAGGCACCACGAGGCAGCCTGACTGCCCTTCGCGAGGGCCGGCTAGAGGAAAGGCTTCTGCTGGAATAGGTGGCATGTTTATTCTTTAGTGGACGTACCTCATTTTCTCCTGTAGGCTGAGAATTTTTGAGAACTTATTTTATCCACCTTTATATGTGCCAGTCTTGCGCTGTGCTCTGTAACACAGGGCACTTGACTTTTCAAGGCTGCCTTTCCCTGTCAGGTCAGCCGCCCTCCATGTAAGGGAGGCACGGATGGAGCACGGGAGGGAGAGAGAAGTCAGGATATTTCTTTCCCTTCCTGCCTAGGGAGTCGCGGCTGGTGCTGCCTCGCCTCAGTGGCTCCAGCTTCTCTCTGCCCAGGGGACTGGCCTCGTTAGCGGTGGGATTGGCTTTCCTGCTGTTGCGGATCTCTAGATCACCTCACTACCGTCTCTTTAGGTTCTCAGATCCCATCACCTATGGATATATTAAATTCTCTCTGTTTTAAATATTTGTAGTGGTTCCAGTTCTCCTGGTTAGATCCTTTATTCTCACTATATTCTTCAGCACCACCGAGAACACAGTGGGTGCTCAATCTATCTGTTGGCTGAATAGATGGGAAGATTCAAGACTCCCTTGGAAACTAAGAGAGAACGGGGACCCCTTCTTGTTTTTAGCAAAACTCAGTGACTCTAAAGCATGAAGAACCAACTGTCTTTCTAACTCCAAGTCTCTGAGATTCTTGGAAAGCAGAGGCCAGTTGTGAATTCGTAGCTTGGGTGGCATGGAACATAGCACACCTGGCTTCAGGGAGCCCACAAGTCAGCAAGGACGTCAGATGTGAACACAGGTCATTAAATGCAGTGGAGAAAGTGCTCTAGGAGTGAAGCAGGGGGTCCCTCGGGGGTGAGGACGACGGAGCCCCAACGCGCTAGGGCGTCTGCATGCACGACTCCAGAGACCAGGTTCAGTGACGCAGATCCGTTTTATTGTGGAACTACAGGGGTATATATAGCATGAGGGGACCAATCAGAGGGAGACACGTTGCTACAGGCGACCAATGGCTGAAAGGCTGGGGTACTGTGCACGTGGCTCTAGGAGTTCGTTCAGGCGGGCGTTGCTACTTCCTGGTGTGCCGAGGAAGCATGTCATGGTGGAGTGTGCTCACACCATTGCATCAGCCGCAGTGCTGAGACATACTTCCCGAGCTGTACGTACATAGGAGAGTGGTCGATGAGTGTAAATAGGCTGCCATGGAGACAGGGAGACTTTGGTGAAGAGATGTTGTCAGAGCTATGTCTTTAAAAAATATTTTTATTGATTTCCGAGAGGAAGGGAGAGGGAAAAAGATAGAAATATCAATGATGAGAGAGAATCATTGATTAACTGCCTCCTGCACAACCCCCACTGGGGATTGAGCCTGCAACCTGGGCAAGTGCCCTGACCAGGAATTGAACCATGGCCTCCTGGTTCATACATAGGACAATGCTCAACCACTGAACCATGCAGGCCCAGGCAGAGTTATGTCTTTTTTTTTTTTTTAATTTATTTTTATTTCTTTCAGAGAGGAAGGAAGAGGAAGATAGAAACATCAATGATGAAGAGAGAGTCATTAACCGGCTGCCTCCTGCACACCCCCAACTGGGGATCAAGCCCGCAACTCGGGCATGTGCCTTTGACCAGAATTGAACCCGGGACCTTTCAGCCCGCAGTCCAATGCTCTATCCACTGAGCCAAACCAGCTAGGGCCAGCAGAGCTATGTCTTGAAGGTTGAGGAGATATCTACCTGGAGTAGAAGATATGCATGGGAATTCCCAGCAGAGGGAACAGAATGTGCAAAGGTATGGAGGTATAACAGGGTTGAACCAGATTGCAGAACTCTGAGACGGTCAGTGTGGCTGGGGCTTAGGAGACAGAGGATGCCTTGGTGGGTAAATTATGGAATTTGGCCACTTAGGTTCAAAGCCAAGCTTCACCACTTTATAGCTTGCTCAAAGGAACTTTGAGTAAGTTACTTACCTTTTTGGAGACTCAGATTCCATATCTGTAAAATGGAGATGCCTACCTAATTTAGTTTGAGGGAGGCTTAATAAGATGATGTACATCAACACTTAGCAAATGAACATCAGCTATTACTCCTTATATTCTTTGTGTGTAAATCGTGTGAGCTACAGTACAGGGCTAACCCCCTATGTTTAAGAGCAGGGAGGGCACAGCGCAAGATCGACACTTATAAAGATGGATCTTCCAGCACACTCTTTGTTCCTCCTACTAAATGCTTTGCCTTCTATAGCCAACGACAGTTTTGATGAGAAATTGAGCTGGGTAAAGTTCAGTTTTGCCTAGCTGCCATGGCTCAGTGGTTGTTGACCTACGAACCAGGAGGTCACAGTTCAATATCCAGGTTCAATTCCCAGACAAGGCACATGCCCAGGTTGCAGACTCCATCCCCAGTAGGGGGCATTCAGGAGACAGCCAATCAATGATTCTCTCTCATCATCGACGTCTCTCTCCATTCCTCTCTGAAATCAATAAAAATATATTTTTAAAAAAGTCAGTTTCAATTACTAAAGAGAAGCGCCAGTGGCAAATGCCATTCTCCACGCCCCTTTCCAAAGGGGGTGCTTGGTTGGGCTGTGGAGGACCAAGGCGTCTACTCACCTGTGGGTGGAGGCCAGTTTGGTGTACTTCCTGCTGGCGGAGAACTCAGAACAGTACAAGCCAGCCTCGGCCCAGGTCTTATTGAGAGGGAAACATCGGTAGCAGTGGCCTTTGAACTCCATCCAGAACAGCGGGCACAGGGAAGCCTGGGGCAGTGCTGGCATGGCTGGGGGCAGAGAGGAAACAGGCTGGGAGGAAGGCGGGCACTGCCAACATTGTTTCTACAGCTTCTGACATATTTTCAAGAATGAAAGTAAAACATGTCCATTATGATTAATGCATTTCTACCCTTGAGGTCCAAAAAACACATGCATACCAAACATTTACAAATTAATCAAAGTCATATACGCTCATTATAGAACACCAGGAAAATGTCACTACTTTGATACATTTTTCTTCATGCCATGCTTGAATGAAGTGATTTTTAAAAAACACAATTGTGGCCCTAGCCGGTTTGGCTCAGTGGATAGAGCATCAGCCTGCAGACTGAAGGGTCCCAGGTTTGATTCCGGTCAAGGGACCCCAGGGGGGGGGGGGGGTGGGGGGGGGTGTAGGAGGCAGCCAATCAATGATTCTCTCTCATCATTGATATTTCTATCTCTCTGTCTCCCTCTTCCTTCCTCTCTGAATCAATAAAAATATATTTTAAAAAATACAATTGTGGCTCTGGCCAGTTTGTTCATTGGTTAGAGAGTTGGCCTATGGACTGAAGGGTCTTGGGTTCGATGTACCTCAGTTGTAGGCTCCATCCCCAGCCAGGGTCAGGGCTTGTGCAGGAGTCAACCATCGATGTGTCTCTCTCACATCAATGTTTCTCTCTCTCTCCTCCTTCTCCCCTCCTCCCTAAAAATCAATGGGAAAATATCCTCGGGTGATGATTTTTTTAAAATACAATTGTGATTATATTGTATTATACACACCAGTTAATATTCTGATTTCTAAAAATTAGAGTATGAGCATTCCCCCACACATGGTAAGTTTTATTAAACATTGTTTTAAATAGCTCTTGAAGACTCCGCTGAGCGGCCCCTCTAGAGTTTATGTAATCATTCCCCTATTTGTGGGTAATTAGATTGTTTCCCCTTTTAAACAACAATTACCCATTATGCGGAGATGAACAGCCATGGGCATAAAGCCTTTTCAGCATTTCTCATGATTTTCTGAGGAGAGATTTTGAAGGTTTGATACAATTTGCTAAATTGCCTCCTGAAAGCAATCTGTACTCCCACGTTAATGTCTGAGTGCCCATCTCGCAGTGTTACCACTTTCATGGCAATCTTTGCCAATTTTATAAGCAAAACATGGTATCTTGTTTCCCTTTGCAAGTCTGGGCTCTCTTGCAAGGGTGGGCATTTCTTCCACGTGTTTATTGACAAACTACAGCCAACACTATTTATATCGTCAGCCCATCGCACTGCTGGGGTTTGTTCTTAATTCTGAAGAGGCTTAAAGGGAAAACCCACATTTGAGACAATAAAGTTCTCCCGAACTCCAGCCCCTCTGGCGGCCCCTTAGGGAACGTGTGTTGTTGTTTTTTAAGCCATAAGTCCAGATGGCTGGCGGGAGGAAGGCATGCTGAGAACCATCCCTGAACTAGGTTGAGTGGCTAATCTGTGAGGTCAGGCAGTGGCCAGAGGTGACCTTTGATGCCTGAGTCCCAGCCACCAGCTCTCCACCTGAGGAGCTGTGTGATGCGCACACTCCTTCCCTTCTCAGCTGTCAAATTGGCTGATCTTTGGGGTTCCTTTTGCAGCGCTCGGGGGGTGTAGAGCCTTTGCCTTTTAAGCCACTATAATAGCGGAATAAAAAAGGTAGTAGACAACAGTTATTGAGCATTTATGATGTGCCAAGTTCATATTGGGGAAACTGTGCCTCAGGCAGGTTGACTTGCCCAAGGTTATCCTGCTAGCAAGTGGCAGAGCGGGGACTTGAACTGCGGCCTCCTGATGCCAAAGTCTTTGGTCTTAGAGCCCACGCCCGTGATGCTTCCTCACGGGGAAATCAGCAGGGCTGAGGATGGTTAATCATCTTTTAGCACCCATTTCACCGGGTTTAGCACTGGGGACATTGCTAGAACATTGTATTTAAATTTAATGGTACAGACCTCACCGAAGGTTGCTAGTTGGGCCGAACAAATCTGCGGAGCACTTGGCATATATGGATCACTCTGTAACAGTATGATTATTAATGACTAGCTTAGGGTTTCATAATCGTGCTGATGTGCTTCAGGAGTCTAGGGAATCCCCTGAAATTAAATGCAAAATTGACAGTGTGTGTGCACGCCTCCGTGCATTTTTCTGAAGAAGGGGACGGTTGCATTAATCAACAGAGCTACGCTAAGCAGGCAGGTTCCTAGCCGTGCTTCCTGTCAGAGCCACTGAGCTTCTCCATCTGACCAGCGTCAGCCCTGGTGTGTCCCACCCGCTGGTTGGTCCTGGCCAACTGTCTTTCAATGTGCGCTATTTTCTAAACTGATGCACAATTTGCCACCTTGATTCTCCTCTACATGGCAAAGGAGAGAGCTGTGCGTGAGAGCTCAGCGGGCTCAGTGTCCTCGGGTCCCTGCCCCTCAGGGCTTGGTCTCCTCCTTTCTCAGCTGAGGGCACTGGTCCAGGAGGCCATTGCTGCGATGCCTTTGCGCCGTGCTGGCCAAGAGGCTGCAGGACCCCTTGGGACGCTGTGTGTTATGAGCTCTTTGTGGGGACTTGAGGCACTGCCTTCCACACAGGCAGGCTCGGCTACTTTGGAGCCGTTTCCCCTTCACGTGGAGGGAAGCAGCAAACCGTTTCCATCTCCTTTTCACCCATCACATTGGTTTGTCCAGGAGTTGGCTGGACTAATTGGCAAAGAGGATGGTATTTCTGGTGCTAAGCCACCTCCCACTGTACTATTCCTCTTACAGATGGAAGTAGGGTAGCCCAATCATCCCAGTTTGCCTGGGGCAGTCCCAGTTTTAAAAGTGAAAGTCCCACATCCTAGGCCCCCCTCACCCTAGAGCAATGGTTTAGGGGCAATTTTCACCCCCAGGGACATTGAACAATGTCTAGAGACATTTTTGGTTGTTAAACACTGGGGGAGTACGCAGTTAAACTGGGGGTGTAACTCATATGGTTGTGTGTTATCCCATGCACCAAGAGGTCACCGGTTCAATTCCCGGTCAAGGCACATGCCCCGGTTCCGGCTCAATCCCCAGTAGGGGGCATGCAGGAGGCAGCCGATTGATATTTCTCTCATTGATGTTCCTCTCTCTTCCTCTAAAATCAATAAAAACATATTTTTAAAATGGGGTGCTATAGGTATCCAATTGGTAGAGGCCAGGGATGCTGCTGGACATCCTACAATGAACAGGACAGCCCTCCCCCACCCCCCACCACAAAGAACTTTCCAACCCCAAATGTCAATAGAAACCCAGCCCTGGATGGAAGGCAGAACTCCAAAAATATAAAATAACCCCACAGCGCAGCAACACAAAACATCACAGCAGATAGCCACGTTTCTCAGCTTATCTGTATTTTAACAAAAATTAAGCCACAGGCCACGCAACTGATTAAAAGTAGAGTTTGGGTTATTTCTCTAATTTCAGAGTTAAAACCTATTATTATTATACACTATGGCTTAAAAGCACTGTGGACATTGCTAGAACACTGTGTGTAAATTTAATGGTACAGACCTCACCAAAGGATGCTGGAGAAGGCAGGGCTTGCTTTTCCTCCCTGAGTTTGGGATGAAACAGACATTTGTCATCTCTCTCTGACAGTGGGAGGAGCTTGTTGTGTTGGGTTTTCCTCCTGGAGCCCCTTTCCCATAAGGTGGACCATCAAGGGTTCTGCTCTGTGAGGCCCCAGTCTCATTCCCGGCTCCTTTCACCCGTCCCTGTGGATTCTTGTTCAGGGCTGGTCCCTCTGCCCCACTCAGGCCAACGACTATAGTAACATCCCTCTCCCAGTGCCTGGCACATATTAGGCGCAAAATAACTAATTTTCAATGACTAAATACGTGCCAGGGAATCACACACTGTTTCTTTTGGGCAACTGCTCCCTTTTGGGGACAGTGGAGAGAAGGGTGTGTGCCCCCTCCACGTGTCCTGACTCTGGGATGGTTTTTCTCACTGAGCACTGAAGGCAGGCTGACGCTTGATTTTCCAGATTATTTAGCACAACAGCTGGGAAGGGCAGCATCAGCATGGTCAGGGAGCTTGTTAGAGATGCAGAATCTTGCCCTAGCCAGTTTGGCTCAGTGGATAGAGCGTCAGCCTGCGGATCGAAGAGTCCCGGGTACAATTTCCGGTCAGGGGCACGTACCTTGGTTGCAGGCTCCTCCCAGGCCCGGGCCCTGGTCAGGGTGCGTGCAGGAGGCAACCAATCGATGTTTTTCTCTCACATCGATGTTTCTCTCTGTCCTTCCCTCTCTCTTCCACTCTCTCTAAATTCAATGGATTGAGGATAAAAAAAGAAAAAGAAAAAAGAAATGCAGCAACTCAGCACCCCTGCCCCAGACTCACCTAGTCAGAATCTGCATCTTAACAAGACTCCCTATGGTTTGCATGCACGGAAGGTCTGGGAGCACTGGTCTACCGTGTGCCAGGCCAAAGGACAGAGCCTGTACAGGGGAGGGCAAACTTTTTGACTCGAGGGCCACAATGGGTTCTTAAACTGGACCGGAGGGCCGGAACAAAAGCATGGATGGAGTGTTTGTGTGAACTAATATAAATTCAAAGTAAACATCATTACATAAAAGGGTACGGTCTTTTTTTTTTTAGTTTTATTCATTTCAAACGGGCTGGATTCGGCCCGCGGGCCGTAGTTTGCCCACTCATTCACTCACTTGCTGAGTCAGGCTTGGCCAGGAGGACTGGATGATTAATTAAATGCTTAGGGGGCAGCTGGGAGGGAAGGGGAGGGGAGGATCCCAGCTCCCAGGAAGCTCCGAGGCTTCTCCAGGGCCCGAAGCCTGAGGACTGTTTTAAGAGCAAGTCCCCCTGTGGAAAACTCTCTCCCACAGAGCTATTAACACCTCCTGCCGGCTCCTCACTCCTGATCCTTTTGATTTTCTCCCACAAGCAAATGATGGTGATGGGTTCCTGGGGTGAAACATACCAGAAAATGAGGCTGTGACAGGTCATTGCTCAATTACTCCCCTTTCCAGGTGAACAGACAAAGGCCTTTAACTGGGAGGATCTGGGAGGCAATAGGATCCTGGTGCTTGCACTGGGACGGTAATGAATTCCACTCTGCCTGGTACACACACACACACACACACACACACACACACACACACACACCCCTTCCCCCCGCTTTTCATACTCACTTTTCCTCTGGGATTTTAGAAACTTGGAATAGAAGGATCCCAGAAACACCTGTCATCAACCCAAACCCCAAAGTAGCCTTTGTTAATGTCTTTCCTGTGAAGGGATTTCTACCATTTTATAGCTCGACAGGTAGTAATGGCAACAGAATAACCAGGCCAACTGAGTTTTCATCGGAGCTAGGCATTGTGTCAAGTGCTTTGCACTTATCAATTTATTAGTCTTCACACGTCCTATGATGTAGGTCGCCCCCAGTTTACAGACTGAGAAACCAAAATCACAGAGAGGCTGAGTAACGTGCCTAAGAGCACACAGCTCCTAAGGGGCAGAGCTAAGGGATGAAGCCAGGCTGTCTGGCCCCAGATCTCACTGAGAGATTTCAGCTGCATTCATGCCCTCTTCCTTTTGCCTCAGTCGTGACTGGCTGGACCTTCATGCGTTCCCTTATTCATGCAACAAGTCCTAGGTGAGCACTTTCTTGGTCTCAGGCAGCGGTCGCATGCTGGAGACGCTATGTGGCAAACGACACAGTGGTGGCTCTGCCCTCATGTCTATAGACCCCGATATTAAGAAAAATAAGCACACACACAAAGATGTCACTAATATGTAATTTGTGGATTTGTGTCATACAGGCAAAAACTTGAGGGAGCAGCCCCCAAATTATTTTGGCAGCTGATTGTTTGCCTCTTTTCTCTTCCTAGTTGAACTGGTGGCTGCCTTGCCCCTGTCTTCAAGGAGGTGATTATAACAGGCATCAGAATCCCCTTCCCCAGACGGAGGAAATATAGGATGTCACAGGGGCACCTAAAAGGGACGCATCACCTCCAGGTGGCGATCAGGGAGGCTCCCTGGAGTTGAATAAGAATCAGAGAAAAAGTTTCCCAGGTAGCAGAACGGTATGTGCAAAGGTATAAGAGAGAAAGAAGCATTTGGGGTAAGTGGGAGTGGTGGGGGGCGGTTAAGAGAAGAGGCCCAGGAGGTGACAGAGGGAGGGTAGGAAAAGGATGCACAAAGGAGCTTGTTGCTCTGGAAACCAAGCTGCCAAACTGCAAGGTCTTTTGCTTCAATTAGCAGCACCAAAGGCCCCCAAGGTCCCCCAGCAGGGACGGGAGTCGGAGCCTTTGGGACCACTGAGCTTATTAAGGAAAGAACACACCAGTGGAGCTCAAGGCTCATTTTATTTCCCACTTTCTCTCTTTAAAAGAATAAATTGTCACCCTCCCACTCAATCTGGCTGCTCGCTCCTCTGGCCCCAATCCAGCCACCCACAAACTCGCTGCCCTGCTGCCTCCTGCCCAGATCAGCGTTGGGAGCCAGCCAGGGGAGGAGGAAGGGAGGCTCTGGGGGCCACCTTGGTGTGGGTCCCCCCACCCACCCACACTGCTGGACCCCAGGTGTCCCAGAGGGCCGGGAGGAAGTGTCTCTCAGTGTCCGGGAAGGTGGCCCGTAGGAGGGCTCAGTCACTTTCACCTTCGCTTCCTGCTGCCTCCCTGGTCCACCCTTCCCACTGCCAGCCCATCCTCCCTCCCAGTGAGTCCTGGCTCTGGTGAACGGAACTGGGGGTCCCACACCTCGCATGCCTGAGCTCTGCTTTCCCGTCTCTGGGCTGCTTTCGTGGCCACACGATACAGAGGAGAACAGCACCCATGAGGTGGGGGGAGGGGAGCTGGAGGGCTGTCAGGAGGCTCAGCCTGGCCCCCAACATCCCTCAGGTCAGGCGGCCTGCAGCCCAGGCAGCTGGGCCTCACTGATAGCACCTCAGAGCCCATGGGGTGTCCTCCTCTCCACCTGCTCCCGGCCCTGGCACGCGTGCTCACATGGGCTGATACTGATGTCCGCTTTGGAAAGGCCTGTGCAGAGAGGAGCGTCAGGGTGGCCGGGGCCCACAGCTCCCACCTCTGCGTCCTGGGCCCCCAGAAGTCCCTAGTGGAGGAAGGAGGCCCCCTGGGGAGCTTGGGTCCGGATTGCTCTCCTGGGCACAGGTGGGGGCGGCCAGAGCTGGAAGGAACAGGGCAGACCCCAGTCTTCTCCTCCTCTCTCGGCAGGAGACAGCCCTGGGCCAGCCCCTCAGGGGAGCTAAGAGAAGCAGCAGCCCTGCTTCTGAGCCCCGGTGGCCCTGGCTGTGCACTTACTTCTGAGGCTCAGTTTCCTCCTCTGTAAGATGGGATAATAACAGAGCTCATGTCCCAGCTGTTTCAGGAGATAAAGCATTTCGGCCCCTCGGAGGAAATATGAACCAGAAGGTAAAAATGCAAGTTACCATTGAGGGCAGAGGTCTCTCGGCCAAAGCCAGCTCACCCAGGGCAGTGAGTTGTTTGGTCCAGGCTGTGCTTTAAAAAGATTTTTAAAAATTGTTGCCAGGGTATTAAATCAGGAGATTTTAGGTGTAAGTCCAGATTTCTGCCTTCTGTTGAAAATCTGAAGATCTGGTCAGAGCGCCCTCATGTACACTGAGCCATGGGAACAATTGGTCAGAGCTGGGAAAGGGCACCCCCTGCAGGTGGGGCCTATGGACTTCAGCTCAGCTGGTCCCCACCCTGTCCACCTGGTCCCCAAAGCACTGGAGACCCGGTGGCGCAGGAGGCTCAGAGGAAGGGGCGTGTGCAGGCTCCCTTCAGAGTCTCTTGGAGGTTAAAGAAGGCTCGGTAGGAGGTTCTTGCTCAACAAAGAGAAGCAAATGTTATTGTTAATAAACAGTGCTAGTGTGTGGTTTGCTCAGACTTACAAGCTTTTAAATCCGCTGGTGTTTCATGGGGATCTCATTGCATTTACGGAGAATTATTATCGCTGAAAACCAGTCTTCACCACATTTCTCGTCCCCTCAGGCAAGTCACTTTGCCTCTCTGAGCCTCACTTTCCTCCTTTATACAATAGAAGTTAGTAGCAGCACCGACCTCAAAGATTAAGTGAAATAATCTGCTTATAAAACTTAGTATAGATGCTGGCAAGTAGTAGGTGTCCAATAAATGACAGCAAACTTTGCTGTGATTATCACTGACCTCGTGCAAGCCTTTTCCTGGCGTTCCACAGTCTACGCGCCCTGCACCGCCCCCTTTCTTTCCCGAAATCTCAGCCGGGTGCCCTGACACTCTGTGCAACTGGCATTCACTCCCTTTCTCCCTGGAACACTCACTGGTGTGCCTGCGAGAATAACTTGTGCCAAGGCCTGACTCAGGCTCATAGCGCAACCCAGCCCCGTTTCAGCGGGCAGCGGGCCTCACGTCACCACTTGCCTTAATACTCCGTGCTGGTGCGCACGCGAAGCATGCACACTTACTATCTGTAAATGATAAACATTATTCTGTAAGTGATGTGCATGTGCTGCCTACTGTGCTAGTACACGGTGTCTGTTAGAACACACCTTTCCCCAAATCGACATTTTAAAAAGTTGGCACAAAATATAAATCTAGAAGAAGGTTTGGATATTTTCTCCCCACTCCCCCTCACCTCGTGCACTCTACTTTGGGGGCCCCTGCTGTCATGGAGATCACTCTCCATTGAGAACCTAGCCAGTGGGGAGAAGGGGGGTAGTCAGACGCAGGCCACGGAGACGTGAAGGATCCTTTGATTTGGCAAATAAACCTCCTAATGATCTGTTGATAATGCGTGCACGTGTGATGGCTAAAGGTGTTGGTAGATGGGTTCATGCCTGTCTCCGGATGGAAACTCAAAGTGTTTGTTCAGGCTCAATCCCGAGTGTCTGCGGACCAGCAGGAGCACCTGAGAGCGTGTGAAAAATGCAGACCCCCGGCCCCAAACCAGACCTGCCCAGTCAAACCTGCTTTGTCACTAGCTCCCATGGTGGAGGTGCGGGGGGGTGGGGGGTGTCATATGTACATTAACATTTATGAAGCATTGCTCTAGACAGGGGTAGGCAAGCTTTTAAAAAATTATATATTAAAAATATTTTTATTGATTTCAGAGAGGAAAGGGGAGGGAAAGAGAGAGAAACATCAAGGAGAGAGAATCATTGATCAGCTGCCTCCTGCATGTCCCACATTGGGGATTGAACCCGCAACTCGGGCACGTGTCCTGACCGGGAATCAAAACCTGACCTCCTTGTTCATAGGTCTATGCTCAACCACTGAGCCTCACTGGCTGGGCTAAAATTATATTTTTAAATAAAATATTTAAGGTGTATGACAGGATTTGATATACATACACATAGTGAAGTGATACCACAGTCAAACCAATTAACGTATCATCTCCTCCTGTGGTTACCTTCTTTTGCGATGAGAGCACCTGAAGTCTATTCTTAGCAAATTTCCAGTCTTCAGTGCAGCGTGATTAACTATAGTCACCTGCTGTGCATTAGCTCTGTAGAACGTACTCACCCTACATAACTGTAACTAAACTTCTGTAAAAAGCCAGATAGTAAATATTTTAGGCTTTGTGGGCCATACGGTCTCAGTCACAACTATTCAACGTGGCCAGAGATTATAGGAATGGGCCTGGTTGGGGTCCAATAAAACTTTATTTACAAAAACAAGCAGTGGGCAGGATTTGGCCCGTGGGCCATAGTTTGCCAACCCCTGCTTTAGACCTCAAATTTACTGGCCATAAAGTAGGCAACTCCTTCAGTATATATTTTCTAGTTTCTGAAGTTGTCTTTATCATGTGATGGCATTACCCGTCCTCCCCCCTCTACACACACGCACACACTCATACATGTACTGTGCTCACGGTAGCCTGGGGGTTCAGTGAAGATCTATCTACCTACCTACCTATCACCTATCTATCCATCATCTATCTATCTATCTATCATCTATCTATCTATCTATCTATCTATCATCTCCTTAATGTCCTAGTTTTTTTAAAATGTTATTTATTTACCAATAAAAAAATCTTCTGGCCTCTCACCACCATTAGAAAAGGGACAACAGAGGCTAGTTCATTCATGGCTTTCAATTCCGGCAGATCCATGTTCAAATTCCAGACCTGTTTCTGTGTGACCATACGCTGATTATTTAATCCCGTTAACCCTCAGTTCCCTCATCTGCAAAATGGGAACAAGTCAATACTTCCCTCACACAAGTACTCAGAACAATGCCTGGTACACGATAAGCACTCAGTGTATGTTAGCTACTATTAGGTCACTCTGAGCCCCGGGAAAACACTGCACAGGAAGGTAGAGAATCGAGTAGCAAAACAACTTCCCGAAGGATAGCCCTGCCGACCTTCAGGACAATGCCTTCCAGACTTTTTCTAGGCAGACGTTTTTCGTTTTCACACAGCAGTGATCATTCCTGAGTTACTTTAAATGGCCCCGGGGAAATAGACAAGGCTTTCAAACTCCTACCCCACCTCCTCCTTTGAACGGGGGTCCTGCACCCCAAAGATGGTGCGCAGGTGGCCTGTGTATCTCTTTTCCCATCTCCCGCTGCAGAGGAGGATGCTAATTAAAATGAGTGGTGGCCCACAACAGGGCACCTTGGGCCCCGGTTTCTATAGAAACCAAGTCACTCCTTCACCTTTCAACACATTTCCCTGTCTCCTGACAAACTCTATCCTCGGAGACGTGGACGGCTCTGACATCTATTGCCCTCTCCCCATTAGTCCACAGCAAGCATTGCCTGATGCGTGCTGAGCAGGAGCAGCCACGGAGGACGGTGTGTTAGGCTTTGCAGGCACTGTCCCGGCTAATCCTCACGCCAAGTATATGGGGTAAGAACTATCACCCTATTTTCAGCTGAGACGGCCCAGCAGCACAGTTAGCCACACCAGCTCTGGATTAGTGACGGAGGGCTCCCGTAACCAGGCTAGGCGGCTTAAATAGCAGAAATTCATGCTCACAGTTCTGGGGGTCAGAAGTCCGAAATCAAGATGTTGGCGGAGGGCCGTGGGGAAGGAGCTGTTGCAGGCCTCTGTGCTGGGCTTGTAGATGGCCGCCTTCTCCCGTGCCCCTTCACATCCTCTTTCTGTGCCTCTGTCAGTCTCTGTGTCCCAACTTCCCCCTTTTATAAGGACGCCAGTCATATTGGACTAGGGCCCACCCTAATGACCTCACTTTAACTTGATTGCCTCGGTATAGACCCTGTCTCCAGCCCTGGCCTGTGCTGCTCAGTGGTTAAAGCCTCGGCCCGTGCACTGAAGGATCACGGGTTTGATTCCCAGTCCAGGGCACGTACCTGGATTGCAGGTTCGATCCCTGCAATTGATGCGTCTCTCTCACATAGATGTTCCTCTCTCTCTTCCCCCTCCCTTTTCCGTTCTCTCTGAAAACAAAGGAAAAAATATTCTCGGTTGAGGATTAATAAAATAAAACAAAACAAAAAGATCCTGTCTTCAAAAAAGGTCACAGATTTAAATCCTGGGGGTGAGGACACCTACATATCTTTTGTGAGGGGGGCACGATGCAGCCTGTAACAGGCAGACTGGCTCTATCACCGACCAGCCACTCTATCTCATTAAACCCTGGTTTCCTCCTTTGTTAAAGGGGAATACTGTCTCCCATGTGGGTTGCCGCAGGAGGACTAAATGAGATACCTGGCACTTCACCTGGTGCTAGCCAGCCCTCTTGTTATCGAGGGCAGTAGGTGCTGGGCATGCCCACCGCAGAGCCCCCAGACCACCTGAGCTCCCCTGTGGCTGCGGGGACGCGGCCGGCCGTGCACAGAGACGCTTACCTGACTCAGCACACGCACCTCGTTCTCTGCCGGGGATTTCTCGGTGCTGCGGGAGCTTGCTCAGCCCGCACGGGACAGTCGTGAAGTACCAAACATTTAAAGCCCCCGGTGGCAACCCCAAGCCCTGAGGGATAGGGTCAGCAGTTAAACACTCCAGCAGTTAAACACTCCAGCAGTTGCCTGACAGTTCTTACCCCATATGCTTCCCATAATGATCATTCCCTAGTGTGTCCTGCATGGGTCCCAGCGTGATTGAGCCCAGCTGCCCGCACTGGTAGTTGATGCAGCCCTCACCTGCTGCCCAGGAGACAGAGTGATAAACAAAGCCTGATGACTTCGTTTGAGCACCTGGATCCAGCTATGCCTGAAGGCAGGACTTCTTTTGTAACAAACGAGTTTGTGTTAAACCCTTCTCTTCTCTGTGTAAGGTTTCTCTTATCAGTCATCAGATTAATATACTTCAGTGTTTCAACTGTTCTTCCAAGACCACACCAATATTACCAACAATGTCTAGCACGGCTGGCTGTCTAGTTCTACCCCTTGGGTCTCCCAGCTGAGGGCCTAGGTACTATGGAGCAGAGATGAGCCAACCCTGATGTGTCTGGTCTCAACTCTTGACCCACAAAATCCATGAACATAATAAATATAGGTGCTTTGAGTCATCAGGATGGTAACCAAACCAACCTCCCACTCTATGCGCCGTGTCCCTGAAGAAAAAGATAACTCGAATGCATGGCACAAATAAATAATCTTTAATTTCAACAAACAGCTCCCCAGCATACCAGACGATATGCTGTGGGAAAAGCTACAGAAGCATCCAACAGAGATACCTATTCTAACTACGCTAACTCCTTAGCACAAGAGAAAGAACTTTGGTTCACACAAATACGGGAAGGTCCTCAGATATGACAGGAAGGAGCGCGTCCTGGATGAGGGTGCGGTGGCCGTTCTAACCCACGTCACTGCCCTCGGCAGGTCAAAGCCACCAGGATTTGGTTGAAAAAATGCTGCTTTTGCTCTACCATGTTCTATTTTCTTGACATACATACACGCTACTATTACTGAAGGCGGGGTCTTGGCCGACAGGACACGGGGTGAAATTTCACTGATGGGAGAGGCAGAGAGAGGGAGGCTCAGGACGGAGTCCTGGCCACTGCCTTGCTCACCAAGAGGACACACGGGCACACGCACGGAACATCCACGCACACCCACAGGGAGTGCCCGGGAATTGGCTGGCACAGGGAGACATTCAGTTAAGCCAGGAGAGGCTCCTTACACTGCCAGCTGTTGGTTGCCCACTGGTTCTCCAAATGGTCTAATCTAGCTATCACGCCCCCGAAATAGAAGACAAGGGGCTTACACTGTGGGGAAAAGATACCAGGTTCGAAGCACCCCAGGGCACAGCAGCCTGCTCCAGTCACCCGGTGGGTGTACATTTTGGCCTGGGGGTCGGGCCTCGCCCACACTGGCCAACTCTCAGAAGAGGTCCCCTTGGTGGAGCCGGCCCCCTTTGGGATGCCCTTTCTCTGGCTTGAAGACTGAAAGTGCATTTTTCGGGGGAGAGGGGTGTCAACAAGAGCAAGCACTGCCAGTACGTCTCACAGCAGCGCACACTCACTCACGGCACATGGATGGGGCTTCCGGAAAGTTCTCAGGCCTCGCTGATCGAGGATGGCCATTTCGTGATCAATAGTCAGCTTCCTCTCAGGTCTGGGAGGATTTGGGGTGAGAGTGTGTGTGTGTGTGTGTGTGTGTGTGTGTGTGTGTATGTAATAGGTAGATGACACGATGACACATTTTTTTGTCTTAAATTTTCTTTCTTTTTCTTATTTTTTTTTCTTTTTACAACTGACTGGTGCCTTCCCTGCAGCCTCAGGTCACCTCCAGCGACGCAGGAGACACGCGGTCACACTCGGCCCGGGACCGCAGGCTGTGCCACTGCTCCACGGCCGTGCGGTGGGTGTTGAGCATCCGCCGCCAGTGGTTGGATTCAGAGGGGCCCGAAGAGTACTGGCCGATGACAATCCTCCCGATGAAGTCATTGCTGCTCTTCATGTTGTGCCCGAACACTAGAGAGCCAC